TGAATAAACATCTTTTCTTTATCAAGTACCCAGCCTCAGGTATTTTGATAGAGCAACAGAAATATAACAGATATAGCAACAGACCAATACAATCAATTTACCTTATAAATTACTATAATTAATGAAAATTTATTACTTTGAACTTCTTTTTGAAGGGTGGAGATATACACACTCAGTAAGGCAAGTCAAAGAATGAGGTATGATGATAACACTGCTTCATTTTTTTCTGCTTGTGGTTCTTGGCAAATTATGAAAATTGTCTTCTATACTCTAAGCCCATTGTGTTAATTTCCAAGGAATTTTGGCTGGTCTTGACAGTAGACAATGCTCTATCTAGACCTCAATAATGAGAGTGAGAGGGGCTCGGGTTGTGGTTCAAGTGTAGAGCGCTTGCCTAGCATGAATGAGGCTCTCGGTTCAATCTTCAGCACCACATAAACATAAATAAATAAATAAATAAATAAATAAAGATATTGCATCCATCTACAACTTTAAAAAATATTTTTAAAAAAGAATGGCAGTGAGGGGCTGTAAAACTTGGTTAGCTGTTCTTGGTAAGACCCTTTGCGGTGGTTCCTGGCTCTTCTTCCTTATCTTGGTTCCCAACTCCCTGAGCCTTTAGGAAACACTCTTGAAATAACAGACTTCCTGTAACCCAGTGGAAACTSTCCCACCCTGTATTCATTCTGGATTTAAAAAAATAGAATTGACAATTAGCATAAACTAACTATAATTAACKACTTAAACTAAGAGTTGACCTCAGGGTCACCTTTGTTTGCATACAATAACCACCCTCATGGACATTGAAAAACTTCCTTCAACATGATGTCAGGATGGAATGAACAAATATCTAGAATAAAAGTTTCATAGAAAATAATTATATACCAATAAGACCAATGTTTACTTTGTTTATGAGAGAAAAACATTTGAGCAATGGCACCTTTCCAATTTCTTCCACTGTAGAAATTCAGAGATGACAAAGAATCCTAGGCTTTGAGAAGATACTGAAATTTATGATTAATTATAAAAATTCTTTTAATATTTGAAGCAATCTGTATTTTACAGAATTCCCTCCCCAAAGCAATTGGGGAGCTATAATTGATAGGAACATATTGTGATGAATTAAAATAGTGTTCCAGAATCTTAGCATATCCTAAATGATCTACTAAGAATGGGATGCTCAGAACAAATACTCTTTTTTTTTTTTTTGGCCAAATTTAATTTTGTCATAGAGTAAGCCCCAGTTCTGGAGCAACCAAAATTATGGGAGTCAAATTTGAACAAACCACACTGTTTTCTTTGATTAAATAATTAGTATATTTTATGGGTGTTATTCTTCTAAAATTATATTTTTAACATGGAAATTTTTGTATTAAATGCTGTAAGCCCAAAAAAGTAACTAAAATGAGATTGGAATTAGAAAGTTAACTTTTCACGTTAATTATAAAAGAAGTTATTTTATATTTGTCTCTGTGGTGATAAGTGCATTTTTATAGAATATAAAATTTGAGCTTAACAAATTTTTATTTTATGTGATAATTTAGATTTCTTCACTAGTATTACGCAGTTAAAGACTTATGCAAAAGCCATATATATATACAAGGTGCTGTGATTTGGATCTTAATCATCCACCAAAGTCTCAAGGGTTAATTAAGGGCTTGGTCCTCAGTGGATGGCACTATTTGGAACTGGTGGAACCTTTAAGAGTTGGGCCCTAGTGGAAGGAAACAAGGTCACTGAGGCTATGCCCTTGATGGATATTGGAACTTTGGTCCCTTCTCCTCTGTTTTTGCTTCCTGGCTGCCATGAGGTGAGCAGCTTTGTTCTACATGTGCTCCCCACTATATTGTTCTGCCTTGCCACAAGCCCAGAAGCAATAGAGCCAGCTGGCTGATTATGGGATGAAACTATGAGCCCAAATAAAACTTTCCTCCCTTTAAATAGATTTTCTCAGGTATTTTGTCACAGCAATGGAAAACTGATCATCACACATGGATGTTCAACTGGAATCTATTACAAATTGAAATGTATTATAATTATAAAAACAGGGAGTGTAGCTCAGTGTTAAGAGTGTTGTAGGGCATGATGTAACATGTGGGGGGATCAGCCAGAAGGAGTTGCCTGGGTTGTGATGAAAAATCTAGGATAGGCTCAGAATCCTTCCGCCCTCGTGGACAGCTTGTGTCATGTCACCCATTACGGCCAGTAGGATGGGTATAYACATGAACTCTCCCCACCCTGCTGACCTTTATCCTGATTGTGTGTTTTCTCAATAAACTGAGATCCTGCTTTGACTGGTCTCCCTGGAGCCTCTGATTATCCTCTGGCTAGGGAGGGCTGGGTGCCAGTCCTTTACCTTTCTGGGCTTGTCCTGGTCTGGACATGCTTTCCCCWTCTCTCCCRCAGGTCAGGAGGAAACGGGGGCTAAAAACCCTGACAGGGTGTGTGTTTAGCATGTATGAAGTTCTGAGTTTGATCCCTATCACCAAATAAACAAACAAACAACAAAAACACCTGTTTTTTATGTCTGAATATTATGAATCTATGGAAAAAACCTTCCTTTAAATATTTAAATATTAGCCACGTGCTGTGGGGGCTCACCTGTTGAGAAACTAATGTGACTCCATTTTTGAGAAACCAGCCTCTACCTCAGAGCAGAGCCTGTCCAAGGAAGGGGGCATGGCCCTTGTCCTTGGAAAAACCCACAGAGCACTCCTAAGCACATACCCATCCTGCTGAGTTGTTTGTCTGTAAATAACAGGAGAGATCTGTGGCACCAGGTGTCCCAGACTCAGTTAGGCTAGGTGAGGACCCATAGCAACCCCTAGCAACCACCAATCAGCATGAGACAGGGAAAATACCTGAGATGCCAGATGACTCTCCCAGTAGTTTATGGTGGTTGATAACATGTTGGGAAACCATGTAGTTTAGCACTTGCACCCCTCGTGGCTTAAACCAATCAGTTCAAAGGAATCCCCCTCTTGTACTAACCATTCTTACCCAAACTTGTTCCTGCCAGTGAATGTGCTAGTGTGCTAGTCAATGTTAAGAGTTGTTGTTTGATTTTCCGAGGTATGGAATGATTTGCTGTGTGATGTTGTGACTCATAGAGTATCCCCCAAAACCTCACTGAACAAAGGACCAGGACTCACTCCCTGGGACTGCTTCGGTGGCGGGAATGGTTATGAGTTCAGGCTGCAATAAAGACTCTTGTGTAATTGCATCGGATTGGGCTCCTGAAGGTCTATTGGGGTCCCACGAATCTGGCATTACACTGTAATCTCAGTTACTTGAGAGGCTGAGGCAGGAGAATCACAAGTGCCCAGTTGGGCAACTTAGCAAAATCCTGTCTTAAATTAATAAATTAAAACAAATAACTTGGATTTATCTTAATGGTAGAGCCTTTGGGTTCAATCCCCATACTTCTCTCTTTCTCTCTCTCTCTCTCTCTCTCTCACACACACACACACACACACACAAATCCAATGTAAATTGATGATATCTGCACATATTCCCTAATAACAATTTAATTGTTTCATCACCTTTTCTAACACTTTGATTTTGCTTTTCTAGCATTGTTAATTGAATCAGGATTTTTAATTTGTATAGCATTAAAATAATAAATATTTGCGTTTATCCAACATCTCTCTATGTGGAGTTAATTATTTAATTTGCTACATTATATTTCCATCACTTTTTTGATCTTCAAGCAAAGTTATAAAAGCTTACCTATCTTCTTTAAGGAATTTCAGGACCCTACCTATCCTCCTTAAATTCCTCTGAAATTCCTTTCGGAGGAGGATTTGGAGTGAACTATGAGTAGAAGTGTTATGCTCGAATTTGGGACCCCCAAAAGACCACCAGAGACCGAGATCGATGTAAACAGCAAAGAGGTGTTTATTGCGAGCTAGCTCTGTCCTCTGCACGCACACAGCAACTGGTGACGCTGAGAGGCCCCGCCGAGCCCAGGGTTTGCAGCAGTTTTATACATTCTTTGGGGAAGGCAGGGACTTCACATACATCATAGCATCTCTTAGCAAATCATCACACACCGAGGGAAAATCAAATAACTCTAAAACATGATTAGCACATTCACTGGTGGGAACAAGTTGGGTAGGGGTGATTGGTTACTATAAGAGGGGGATTCATTTGAACTGATTGGTTTAARCCAAGAGGGGTGTTCCTGCTGAACTACATGGTTTCCCAACACCATAAACTCCTGGGAGGGTCATCTGGCATCCCAGGTATTTCCCTGTCTCATGCTGATTGGTGGCTGCTAGGGGTTTGCTATGGGTCCCCACCTAGCCTGACTGAGTCAGGGACACCTGGCACAGCAGATCTCTCCTGTTATTTGTAGATAAACAACTTAGCAGKGTGGGAATGTGCCTAGKAGTGCTCTGTGGGTCTTTCCAAGGACAAAGGTCATGTCCCTTCCTTGAACATGCTTTGCTCTGAGGTAGAGGCTGGTTTTTCAGAAGAAACATCATTAATGAAAAAAATACTTTGCTTTGACATCCTACATACCTTAAAATGATTCAATAGCCCCTCCTTCCTATTCACAGTGCTTTTGGAAGTTAAATTGCCTAAAAATTTCTCTGGGACACTTATTAGCAATAGAGATTTCTGGACCCCAGTCTCAAAATTATATATTCCATATTTTTACATGAGTTCCCTAGTTGGTTCTAATGGGGATACAGCTGGCTTTTTGAGAAAAACTGATAAGCATGAATTTCAAGCTTCTCTTCCCCACATCCCGCCTCCCCGAGCCCCGCCCCCCATTTGGAATATAAATTTAATTTTGTCATATCAGGAGCATGGTTCAGTTATCCTTAACTCAGTTTTAGTTTTACACTTCCCTCTTCTGCAGTTCCTCAATGTTGTTAGTCTGGATATCTGTGTTATACAAAATCTTGTGACCTCTTCCCTATTAGACAGCTATGTACAACATATGACTGGCTCTGCTGACCCTGACACCCCATATGGACTGTGCAGATATGTTGCAGTATCACATCTTGGTCATAGCCTCTTTTTTTTTTTTAAAGAGAGAGTGAGAGAGGAGAGAGAGAATTTTAATATTTATTTTCTAGTTCTCGGCGGACACAACATCTTTGTTGGTATGTGGTGCTGAGGATCGAACTCGGGCCACACGCATGCCAGGCAAGCGCGCTACCACCTGAGCCACATCCCCAGCTCAGGTCATAGCCTCTTGACACTTACATTTTCTTGCTTTAAACCTACCAATTAAAACTCTTCTCAGGAAACCTGTGTGGATAACTCCCTGGATCCCAATGTTGACATTGTTCCATAGTCTCCTCCTGCCATGCACAAACTCTCCGTCTGCACTTCTTGACCTTGACCTCCACATGTGTGGCTTTCAGGTGTGTTGTGTACCACCCAGGGCCCATCAGTAGTAAAATCTTTCTTTCCAACTTGTGTCTCTCTTAATCACTGAAATAGTGCTCTTCATCTTAAAGATCCTAAATTAAAACAAAGGACTCAAAGCCTACGGACTCTTCTTTCATTAAACATCCACTAAACTCAGGTGATTGACACTGGGAAATGAAGTCTCTGGCTCTCGACTCTCAGTCTCCATTTAAAGTTCAGCTGGGATACTAGAAGTTAATGTGTGCATGAATGTGAGAGGGAAATGGGGAAATTAAACATATTCTTGTTCTGGCTTAAAGAATCTAAGCTTGACTAGCCATAGGAAGGGAAAGGCTCTTTTGTATAAGGGACCAAGTGGAACACAGGTACCAGCAGTACTTCCTCAAGGATCTGGGAACAAAGTATATGATCTTGGATAAGTTTTTAAGTGTTTGGAGGGTAGATATGCTAYATGTCTGTCCTTCAAGATGGTTTTTCTTTTTCCAGAAATGAGCCCAACTCCCTACCTGGGATATTTTTTTGCCCAGAATTGATTTTGTAGCATTAAATTTTGACACATAACYCTCTACTACCACAGTCACCCAAGTCCTCAGGTTTTCTCCCAGCCCAGTTCTATTTCTAGTCTCTCCTCAGGGGACATTCCTAGATCCCTGAACTCTAGAGACTCTTTCCTCCTCAGAGCACAGGGTCTTGCTGTGTGCCCCACCTGGCTACAAATTCTTGAGCTTAACTGATCTTCCTGTCTCAGCCTCCAAAGTAGCTAGGACTACAGAATTGTCAGGTACCTGATCTCCTGCTGATCCTGGGTGATTCAGTCCTCTTGGTCTTCCAACAGCAATGCCTGAAAAGGCAGTGCTGTGACCCTTTTATTCTTGAGAAAGTTGTGCTTTCAGTTTCTGATTGAATTGGAAAGGGAAGACAAATAACTTATAAACTAATAGTTTGTGTTTTCCTGTTGACATTTTTACTTTCTCTATACCCAGAAGACAAGACCATTATGTCCCCTCCCCATGGGATTGGGATGTGTGTTTTGCAAGGAGATCCTGCAAAAAAGAAGAATTTGCTGGTTGATCTTTGCACCAGACATATGGTTTTACAGATTGTGTTAAACCACAATACAAAGAAAAGACCACCGACTCCAATTGAAATCAAATTAAAACAAGCATGTAATTCTGACCAGCCAGGTCAGAATTCTGTCTCTCCCAAAACTCATGGGAACAGAAGACAGCACTCCAGCTCTCTAGGAGTGCAGCTTTATAGCACAGAAAGTTGCAAAAAGGGGAGGTGTCTTCACCTCATCTCAAACCCCTAGAAAAAGAAGAGCAAAACAATAGCAAAAGTAGTAGAAGGCAAGAAATAATTAAAATCAGAGCTGAAATCAATGAAATTGAAACAAAAGAAACAATTGAAAAAATAGACAAAACTAAAAGTTGATTCTTTGAAAAAATAAATAAGATCAACAGACCCTTAGCCATGCTAATGAAGAGAAGAAGAGAGAGAACTCAAATTACTAGCATACAGGATGAAAAAGGCAACAGACACTACAGAAATACAGAAGATAATTAGAAATTATTTTGAAACCTTATACTCCAA